CCCGGGAGGCTTCAGACCCTGGGGGGTTCCTTTTCTAATAAAGGCGTCGGTTATATCCATCGCCAATCCACGATCGAAGTTCCACTGGTTTCGAAACCCTGGATTCCGTATCCATCGATTCCTTATCCAACGCCCTCACAGTATCCAGCATCAAATCCTGGAGGGCGCCTCGGTTCTCCAGAACAGGGCGAAGCACCAGGGGCACCTCAGACCAGGGCCACGCCCAGCAACTCTCGGCGGCGAACGAGGGAGGGGCGCGAGAGGGGCAAGACCTCCTCACAGAAGCGCTCCGGCCCTCTGAGAGGCTCTGTGTCTTCGGGGGAGGCTCGGAAAACTTCTCAAAGGCCAGGGGACCACCGAGCCCTCTGAGAAGGCCCGCCCCTTCTCACTTCCCCCCCCCAGGCTCGCCGCCGAAACACCCGAAGTGCACGCGCGCCACTCCGCGCCCGCGCCCGCGCGCAAGTGGCCGAGGGAAGAGCAAGATCAGCGGCTGCCTCGGGATGCCTCCGAACACCCACGTCCCGAGCGTCTGCGGGCCTTGGGCGCCCGTCTCCCAGGACCCGAGCGCAGGCCCCGGGGCCCTGTCCATCTCGGGTGGAGCCTGACCTGCATGTCTTCACTTGGAGGGGCAGGGGGATGGGGAGCGGACCCACCAACGACCACACTCCGAGGGAAACCACGCGCGGACCTTTTGGACCTTGCCTCCTGAGAGCGCGCACAACGCAGCGCGTGAGAGTGGCGCGAGACAGAGCGGCCAGCGCAGTTGCAAGACTGGAAGGGGGCTTGGCTCGTCCGACGCGTAATTACAGAAAACCGCCTTCAATGATTCAAGGCCGCGAACAGCTCCCAAACTTGGCCGGGCCCAAATCAGGCCCTGCAAGATCTGGCGCTCTGGCTGGGCTCGATTCGCGCGGAACCCCGTCACCTGCCAGGCCCTCCTCTGGGGTCTGTCCAACTCTGGGCGAACCCGGCTTGCACGTGCCCTCCGACCCGGGGATGACCGACAGGAACCGCCGCACTCATACGGCACAGCGGAACTCTGACCTGCCAACAGCGGCTAACTCTCAGGAGGGGCGGCCCTGGGGCTATCTAACTTTGATCAAAGCCTGGCTTGCACGTGTCCACCAACCTGGGGCCGACCGAGGAGACCCGCCTCCAGCGCAAAGCACTCCTCCTCCTCCTCATCCTCCTCCTCCGCCTCCCTCTCCTCCTCCTCCTTCTCCTCCTCCTCCTCCGCCTCCTCCTCCTCTTCCTCCTCCTCCTTCTCCTTCGCCTCCGCCTCCACCTCCGCCTCTTCCTCCTCCTCCTCCTCCTCCTCCTCCTCCTCCTCCTCCTCCTCTGCCTCTCCTCCTCCTCCTCCTCCTTCTCCTCCGACTCCTCCTCTTCCTCCTTCTCTCCCTCCTCCTCCTCCGCCTCGTCCTCCTTTCCTCCTCCTCCCCGTCCTCCCCCTAATCGTCTCCTTCCCGTCGGCCCCATTCGTCCTCCTCCTCCTCCTCCTCCGCCTCCTCCTCTGCATCTCCTCCTCCTCCTCCTGCTGCTCCTCCTCCTGCTGCTGCTTCTCCTCCTCCTCCTCCTCCTCCTCCTCCTCCTCCTCTCACTCCTCCTCATCTCCTCCTCTCACTCATCATCTCCTCCTCCTCCTCCAGCTCTCCCCCTCCCCTCTTCCTTTTCCTCCTGCTCCTCCCTCTCCTCCTCTCCTCCTCCTCCTCCCCCCTTCTCCTCCTTCTCCTTCCTGTTCCTCCTCCTTCTCTTCCTCCTCCTCCTGCTCCTGCTCCTCCTCCTACTCCTCCTCCTCCTTCTTCTCCTCCTCCGCCTCCGCCTCCATATCCGCCTCCTCCTCCTCCTCTCCCTCCTCCTCCTCCTCCTTCTCCTCCTTCTCCTTGTCCTTCTCCTCCTCCTTTCCATCCTCCTCCTCCTCCTCCTCCTGGCTCAAGCTTGCGCCTCTGGTCAGCTCCAGGGGTTCAAGGCTCAAGCAGGCCCCCCGTGGCCGACTTGCGCCCGTGCCTCGCCTGGTCCACCCCAGGCAAAAGGCAGTCATCGATATGCGCGCGGAGTGATGGCGTTCCTGTGTGCCACCCTACTGAGTGCGGCCACAACGACGTCGCGAAGCGCCTGTCGCCGCGCCAGAGCTCGTGCAACTCACGCGCGCAAGCTCCAGGAAGCCAACGGCCGACTGGCCGGCCTCCTTGCGGCAGGCCCCCGCCCGACTTGAGATCCAGCTGCCCATTGCGTCGGGAGTGCCGCAGCATGAATTTGAGGAGAACTTGTGGACGCCCACTGCCGTGCTGGTCTCCGACGTGGAGGTCGACGAGCTGGCCACCTACAGAGAGGGCCTCACGAACGAGCTGCTGCGGGTCCTTGCGCCGAAGCGCAGTATGCCGACGCCGTACCTGGTGTCCACGACTTCTCGGCCGTGGAGGAGAAGCTGCAAGACGGCGTCGACATCGGGGCTGTGGTCTTAGAGTATTCCCAGGGCGCGCACCCCTTCGACGAGGAGGGCGACGACGGCGACGGCATCGAGAAGTCCACGGACGAGCAGGTGGTGCAGTGCGCTGCGGAGCGGGCTGCGGAGCCGCCCAACCAGGAAGCGATCGAGGCGTCGGAGACGACCCAGGAGAACCCTGTGCTGATCGAGCAGGCCATGGAGGAGACGCTGCACGATGGCTTCAGCAGCCAGGCGGAGATCCAGAAGCAGTTCTGGGCATGAAGACCTTCGATGAGGTGGGCCCCCACGACGATGGCATCGAGGTCGACTCCGGGGCGGTTCAGGAACAGCTCGGCACCACTAGCTGGAAGTACCGCGCTGGCGAGAACTGCTGTCTCTCGGCAATCAGAGCGCGGATATAGAGAAAACTTATATTCAGTTCGTTGAGGGAGACGGTAACCCACAGTACAACATGATGATTGACAGTTGCACGCCTGTCCGACTAGACTTCGTCTGTTTCTGTACGAACCCACGCTACAAACGCAAATACAACATCTCCAATTACAAACTATGGAAGCCGCCAGTGTAACACTGCCCGCCTTCGCTGGAATCTGTGATAGTTATTGTTGTATGTGTTCATCCCGTGCGTGGTGACTGCTGTGCAGTCGGAGTTATTGTTGTATACGGCTGCCGTGCATTCCGAGAATCGTTATGTTCTTTGTTCAGTGATTGCTGCATGCATTGCACGCGCATCTGCGTTGCATCCTGATTCGCAGGTGACAGCTATGTCCTCTGAAACCTCCCATGAAAATCAGCGGATTCCGGTGCCGCCAACAGGTCGACGAGCCAGGCATACCCTTGGCGCTCCCCTGCGCAGGAGAGCGGCGGAGGCTACGCCCTTCGCTCAATAATTCGATTCGATATCGATCCGGATCCCGACCCCGCAACCACCTGTGCGCTTGTCCTCCTCCTCCTCCTCCTCCTCTTCCTCCTCCTCCTCCCCCTTTTCCTCCTCCACCTCATCCCCCTCCCCCTCCTGTCTGCGGCCCTCTCCTGAATCCTGACCGTTCCTCTCACCCTCCCCCCAGGAGGCGGGAGGCTGAGGAAGCCAGCACGAGGAGGAGGAGGAGGAGGAGGAGGAGGAGAAGGAGGAGGAGGAGTATTTCGACTATTTCGCATCTCGCTCCCCGCGAGCTGCGCGGCGCAGAACGCGCCGCGCGCTCCGCCGCCGGTGGCGCGGCAGCCCTCATCTCACGCCGCTCACTCATGGCGGCTCGGCCTCTGGAGGTCGCGGCCCTGGGGCCCACCTCCTCTCCACTCGCGTCCTGCGGAAGCGAGTGGGGCACTGCTGGCGAGGGCCTCCTTTGTGGTGTCCACGCTCCGCCCCCTAGATCCTCAGCACCCCGCGTGGCGCCCTCGGCGCTCGCGCCCCGAACACCCCGCACGGCTTGCCTTCCAAGGGTGGCGAGAATAGCGTAGCCCATGTCGGTGTTATCGCCCTTCTTGGTGTTGAGGTCCAGCTGCCCTTCCTGGTGAAGCTGCTGGTTGCGGTGCGTATCTGGTCTTCGACGACTTTGCAGTTGGTTCTCGTGGATGCTATGATATTGTTATTTCGGCTGCTCTTGGCGGTGGCTGCCGAGGCATGTATCCTTGCCGCTGGCTGCGGCTAGGAGGCGCTGCGTCCAACGTCTGCATCGTTCTTCTGCACTCCGTTCCTTGTCGGTCTTCCGTTGTTCGTTGACTTCGTGCACTGGTTCTTCGGGTCGCTCCTGTCTTCTTTGCATGTCCATGTCATGCGACGGCGGTGTCCCGCTCGATGATGTGGCTCTGTGTACTTTGACAGTGCTGCCCTGTACTCTGGGGGTCGCGGCCGGGGGGCCCACCTCCCCTCCAAACGCGTCTTGCGGAGGCGAGTGGAGCACTGCTGGCGGGGGCCTCCTTCGCGGTGCCCACGATCCGCCCCCGAGATCCTTAGCACCCCGTGCGGCGCCCTCGGTGCTCGCGCCCCGAGCACCCCGCACGGCATGCCTTCCAAGGGTGGCGGCAGTAGCGTGGCCCTCGTCCGTGTACTCGCCCTTCTTGGTGTTGTGGTCCAGCTGTACTTCCTGGTGGAGCTGCTGGCTGTGGTGATCATCTGGTCTTTGACGACTTTGCGGTTGGTTCTCGTAGGGGGAGGAGGAGGAGGAGGAGGAGGAGGAGGAGGAGGAGGAGGAGGAGAAGGAGGGGGAAGAGGGGAGGAAGAGGAGGAAGAGGAGGAGGAGGAGGACGAGGGGGGCCGAAGGGAAGGAGACAATTGGGGGACGACTACCAACCTTGCTGCAGATCGCAAGGATGGGCAGTAGGCGATCACAGCAGTCCCTCGACTGCCTGGTGCGAAGCAGAGAGCTCTTACACCAACGACGAGGGCGATGTCGCAACCTTCCGGGAGGGGGGGGGGCGAGGCCCGAGGAGGGAGGGCGAGGAACAGCGGGCTGATCAGGTTTAGAAAGTCGCGGCGGTGGCCCCTCCAGTGTACACGGCGCTCTGGTCGCATCTGAAAACGCCCGCGCCGGCGTCCCTCTGCGCGCTGACGAGGTCATCCTCGTACCTCTACCGCGGCGGCAGCAGCATGACATGCTCCCTCCTTACGCGTCCTCGTCCATCCTGCTTGTCCTCGCCATCCTCGTCTCGGGGCAGACGAACCACCTCATCATTAAGCACTCCATACAAGCGATGCCATCTAGCAACTGCACCTGGGCATCGATGCGAACAGGGCAGAAACTTTCAGCGAACGCCCAGGAGTGCTCAGAGAGGCCAATTCTGGGGTCGGTGTGTTTTCCTTCATCCGGGGTAGGATGTCAGAGGTACGATATTGCGCGAGCGCAGCTACGGCAAGTTCGCGTCGTGTCGACCTTGGCGTTGGTTCCTGACACCACGGGCATCGCTCAACCTTGAACGATCGGCCGGTTTCGAGACGTCTAGTCGTTCAACATCGACCCATTCTGGGCTGCCGGCGGCGTTCCACGTTGAACGCTGGCGGCGACGTCGCTGCCAGTCGACACAACGCGAAACTACAGTGGAGGCTCGACCACAAGAAACCTTTCTCACGCTTTCCATAACAAAACCATCGAAAACCAAGAAATCTAGAAAACCTGGGAATACTGGAGGCATACAGGGTGTTTGTTGGTTGGCATGGGCCTCTCCTGTACCGCAGCTTGCCCTTGAACCTTCTCTCTCCTTCTCCTCCCCCCCCCCGGCTGGCCGGGGGGCAGCCAGCCGCCAGGCTGGCCGGCGCTGGCTCGCAGGGCCGATGGGGCCTGCACAGAGCTGGGGCTCTCCTCCTCCGCCTCCTCCTCCTCCGAGTCCTGCTCCTCCTCCTGCTCCTAGTCCTCCTCCTCCTGCTCCTCCTCCTCCGCCTCCACCTCTTCTTCCTCCTCCTCCTCCTCCTCCTCCTCCTCCTCTCCCTCCTCCCTCTCCTCCCCTCCCCCTCCCCGCAGCTCCACCGCGGCGAGGGTGGCTGGCCGAGCGGCCAGCGGAGGGCCAAGCCTGGCGCGGGCACCCGCGGACCACAGCTCGGATTCGAGGCTTAAGTCGAGGACCCGTGCCACCTGCCATAGGCCATGAACATATATCTGGCGGCACTCACAAGGGGGTAGGGGGAGGGGAAGGCTTCTTAGAAGGACGCTGCTTCTTAAAAGGAGCCCGCCCTACATCTACAGACAAGGCCCGCGCCTTCTAAGAAGCAGGGGTGCTTCTAAGAAGCCTTTCCCCCTCCCCCTGCCCCCCTCTGCGCGTGGCCGATGTATACACAGATTCCCGCCGACGAATCCTACCAGCCCTCTGGGCGTGGGTGGTTTTACGAATTTTGTTTTCTCTCCGCCACAGCTCTCTCCTTCCCCTGCTCAGGGGAGGGGCTTACTTTGCCCCCTACCCCCCTCCCCTGGGCCTGGAAAAAGCGCCCCGCGAGGGGTTAGAGCATCTGAAAGCGTTACGGAATGCTCCGGAACGGATGTATCCTCGTCCTAGCCCCGTCCAGAGGACCCCCGGATGTCCACGGAAGCGGCGAAGAAACGCCAGTCTTGCGCACAGAGGCACAGTAACCTTACGCGAAAGTCTACGCGGGCCTCCAGGACTGCACACCGCGTGTGAAAGAGACGGCGCTTGCGCGCGACCTTGAGCGGGCGGCTTTTGGACGTGACACAAGCGACACAACCCCTCCACCCAGAACAACATCAGCGGCGTACAACCAGCCAAACAAGACAAGTATGTACCCAGAAGATGGAGATTGGTAGAATTGCTGAAACATGGCATCTGCACCACAGGATTTTCCGACAGCCTGCGGACCAACTCTGTAGGACAGGAAAGCGGTTACTGGAGACGATCAGAAGTTCTCGATGTCCAACTGCTTTCGGTTGTCTTTGATGGGCGTGTCCGCTGGTATTAGGGTGTTGGTTTGCTGGTGGAGCAAAATTGTGCAAAATTTGGTCATCGCATTCAGAGATTGATGCTTGGGTGTCCGTCGCCCGCTTGCTGGTCCGACTCGGCCGCTGTTCTGTGCGGTCATGCCACCGCTCGTCGCCCATTGTGCCCCCGATCGTTGCGCGACGCGCGATCGCAGTCGAGCTGCCGCCCCAGCCGCTGGCCATGTAAAACACCTCCCGACGAGACGTCGGAACGGGATTTGTAGTTGCGCACCTGCGGGTCCCTCTGGGTGAGCAGGGACGGAGCCAATGACTTCAGAAAAGGTGGGCCGCAAGCGTGCGCGCAGCTCCTGGGCAATGCTTCCTGGGTCCGCGCGCAGCTCCTGAGCAGCGTTTCCTGAGCTCGCGCGCGGTTCCCGGGCAGCTCCCAGGCGGCGCTTCCGAGGGCACGCGCGCAGCTCCTGAGGGCGCGCGGCAAGCCCGGCCACAGCTGCTGGGCACCCTGCTATGCAGCGCTGCTTGGGTTCGTGCGCAGCTGCCCGACAGCTCTTGGGCAGACCGCGACAGTTTGCGAAGCACGCTTCAACGCGCGCTTGGCACGCACGGCCGGGCAGCAGGAACAGAAGAGGGCAGAGGAGGCAACAAGAACGGAGGAAAGCACCGGCAAAAACACCTGGGAACGGCGGGGGCGGGTGATCACTGTGCGCGGCCAGCCGGACGCGCGGCCCGCCGGCGAAAGAGGAGCAAGGAGGAGGAGGAGGAGGACGAGGAGGAGGGGCAGAATAAGGAGGAGGAGGAAGAGGAGGAGGACGAGGAGGGGGAGGAGACGGAGGAATGGGAGGACGAGGGCGAGCAGGCCGACGACGCAAAAACGAAGACGACGGCGGCGAAAACGGGGCGGCGCACGTTAGCGGGGTGGACACCACGAAGCAGAACAGAGAGTTCCCCGCCCTTTCTTCTTCGGGAGCCTGGCTGACAACGCACGCGCGGCGCTCGTCGCCGCCCCAACGACCCCCCCTCAAGAGAAGGAAAAGAGGATATAGAAGGGGGGCGAGGATGATTAGGAGAAGGAGGAGGAGGATAATGGAGAGGAAAAGGAGGGAGAGGAAGAGGAAGAGGAAGAGGAAGAGGAGGAGGAGGAGGAGGAGGAGGAGGAGGAGGACAGGAGGAGGAGGAGGGAGGGAGGAGGAGGAGGAGGAGGAGGAGGAGGAGGAGGAGGAGGAGGAGGAGGAGGAGGAGGAGGAGGAGGGAGGAGGAGGGGAGGAGGAGGAGGAGGAGGAGGAGGAGGTGGAGGAGAGGAGGGAGGAGGAGGAGGAGGAGGAGGAGGAGGAGGAGGAGGAGGAGGAGGAGGAGGAGGACGAGAGGAGGAGGAGGAGGAGGAGAGGGGGAGGAGGATGAGGAAAAAGAGGGGAGGCGGAGCAGGAGCAGGTGGGGAGGAGGAGGACGAGGAGGACGAGGAGGAGGAGGAGGAGGAGGAGGAGGAGGAGGAGGAGAGGAGGAGGAGAGGGGAGAGGGGAGAGGATAAGGAGGAGGAGGGGGGATGAGGAGGAGGAGCAGGATAAGGCTAAAGAGAAGGCCCTCGGAGGTCCATGATCTTAAGTTCCATATAAACTGCGGAGGGCCCCTGGGGAACACACGGGAGCAAACCCCGCCAGTCCGACTTTCGTCGGCACGAGGAACTGCCTGGGGCGAGGCGACGCGGGGGGCTGCCAAAGCGGGCCCCTCGCGTCGCCGCACCACCGCCCCCCCCCCCCCCCCCCCCTTCCCCCTTCGCCCCCCCCCCCTCCCCCCCCTCCCTCACCCGCTCCCCACCCCCCTGCAACCAGGCCAAACAAAAGAGGCGGCCGGGTACTTGTTGATCGAGCCTTCTCTCTCTCTCTCTTTCTCTCTCTCTCTCTCTCTCTCTCCCTCTCTCCCTCGCTCTCTCTGCCGCTGCTGGTGCACGAATGCGCCGCGCCTCGCTGGCCGCGGCAGAGAAGTGCTAAGCTGGCTGCATCAAGAAACAATTGTCAAAAGCTGATTGCGATCTCTGCGCGCATGCCGCTCACTCTAGCTCTGAGACTCCGAGCTTTCAGCCAGCCTTCGTGGCGACTTCTTCGTTCGTGAGCCTGGCATCTCCGCTCACTCCGTTGGTGGCCAATGCCCCCATCAACGCGACGTGGGTCTTCCGCCCCTGCACTGAGGCCGACGGCTTGCGGCACTCTGCGCGCCTCTGGTGGGCGGCTGCCCCCGTTGGCGCCAGGGGCAAGGGATGCTGCTTCTCGTCCGCGAAGTCGCATCCGAACCCGCGCTTGCTCTTCGACGATTTCGCGTAGCAGCTTCCAGCTCGTCGTTCTGCTTGCGGCCGTAGTCCGTTTCCCATGGGAATGGGCCCTTCATGGGCCCCGAAGTATCTTCCACGCAGCCTTTCAGCTCAAAGTCGATCTGGATCGAGTGCTCGATATTCTGCAGCTGGCGCCATGATCTCGATGCCTTGGGCTCGCTCCATCTCCTCGTGCAGGTTCTCGCTGCGAGGGCACTTCAGTCGTCCGAGACTGGTGGCGAGCCGGTCTTGCTGACGCTGCAGCGCGACGATCGTCGTCTGGACGGGGTCGTTGCACTGCTTGAAGGTCTTGCTGGTGGCTTGCATGCTAGAGTGCGCAATGTGGAGGTGATGCTCCATGCTGCCGGCTACCTGCTCGCCATGTCCCCCACGGTACTGAGGGCGCTGCACAAGAACTGGAGCAGGAGGTGGGCGCTGCATCCACTGCTGCTGGACCTGCTGGATCTCGCTCTCCTCCGCGCCGACCGCGCCCGCGCCTTCCATCTGTCGACTGCCAGCCGGGCTGTCCATCGCTGTTGGAGGTGCCCTTTTGCGCGTCGCTGTCCTGGGTCGGCCCTGTGACGTTGGAGCCGAAAGAGCTACGTGCAGGGGCCGTAGTGGTGATCGTGGCCGTGGTCCCCTTAGTGACCTTAGTTAGCTTTGTTCTTGTTTGTTGCATTAGTTTCCTTAGTCTGACTGTCTGCCATGGTGTAACACTCGCATTGCGAATTCACTCGCCGCAGTCCTCCATCGATGGTCGCACATAGTAGCGTCGTCCCTGACTGCGCTTCCTGTCCCATGGGCCTCTGGGGGGATTCGGCGTCTGCGTGAGCCCCCGCCTTGCTCGCGCGCAGGAGCGGGTCGGGAGGGCGGGCGGGAGTCGGCCCTCGTCCAATAGTTGGGGGGGGTAGAAGCCCCATCCCCCCCCCCCGCTGGTTACTGCATCACTGCATAAGTCCCTAGTGCGTATGTCCTTGTAGTAGTTGGCAATGCGTACTGGGTTACCCATGAACACACCGTGTTGCTCTGCGTTGTTCTTCAGGTCCTGGAATCGCACTAGGTCTTGACTAATTCCCATTGCTGTTTTTTTCCTCTCTCGTCTCTGGCGGCACTGCTGGTGGCGGGCGAGCAGGGCTGACGCAGTTGGACATCGCGAAACCTGCAGCAGCTGGGGGCTCTGGCGGGCCGCGACATTGGATTGGGGCCTCTGGTGCCTCCACGGAGTCCGATCTCAACGCTTCTTGATGAGCTGGTGCTCGAGGGCTCTCTCGAGCCCCGTCGTCCCGCCCCCCCCCCCCCCCCCCCGATGCGCACTTCGCCCCGCCCTGGTGGGCCATGGCCGCGTTGGTCGCCTGCTTGAACACCACCGCCTGGGATCCTAGCAGCGCCTGGAACTGGCCCTCGTCGACTTTCTACGTGTGGAGCGCCGCCCTGAAGCACGGGCTGGCGTTGATGACTAACGCCGCTTGCGCCGTGGGACCGTTGCCGCCCATCGCCTCCTCGCTCTGGTAGGACGGCTGCACGTTGAACTGCATGGAGATTGCAATCAAGACTTCCACCCCCCCACGCGCCGCTCGCCGTCGCCGTGAACTCCTGCAGCGTGGCCAGGATTGGCTTCGTGCGTTCAGTCTGGAAGGGGGGGTGCTTCGCTGTTCATCTTCTCGGCCAGGCCTTCCGCAGAACTTGCTGCTACGTGCCCATGCAGCGGCCCTGGTTTGCGCCCCTTGTCGCGCTCGTTGGCCGCGCGCCCGCGTTCCCGCCAGGCCACGAGGCTGTGCCGGGCGGCGTCGTTCGCGAGGCAGACCAACCAGAAATCGCATGCGCCGCTGCGCAATTCCTGATCGCCGCGCTCTTCTGGAGGGCTGGCTTCCGGAGGGCTCCCATCTCGTCTCTGTGCTCCGCTGTCAATCCGCCGCCTCCTCCGCCTCCGCCCGGGGGGTCGCCGCCGCTGCTGCCCTTGCCCTGCCCCGAGTTCGCCGCCCTAGTACATCGGACTGCTGCTCCTTGGCCTGGTCTTCCTGCCCCTCGCTTCCCCTCAATCCGCCGCATCATGCCCTGGTCCCCCATAGCGGAAGGTAGTGTGGATGCTATGTGCTGCTTCGCCCCTGGGCTCTCGGATCTGATCTGGCCCTGCAAGGCGGCCCCTGATGCGCCGTGAAGCTCCGCAAGTGTTCGGGCCTCATGTCCACATGTTCGACATGTAAGTGCGTTGGCCCCCTGCACTTCGCGGGGCCATTGTGGCACATGCAGCGACGATGCACCGATCGCGCGCAGTGGTCCACCGCCGCGCGTCGGTTGGCAAACGTGCCGTAGCACCATGTGCACTGGTTAGCGACGATTACGGACGCCACCAGCGGTCACGCGTCGTGCGTCTCTCGGCAATGGCAAGCCAGCCATGCATAGGTAGGGAATCTGTGCCCACAGACCTTCTCCCGCCCCTGCTCGCCCTGTGTAGCGTGATCACACCAGTGCGGTGTCCTCCTCCTCTTCCTCACCTGGTACCTCCTCCCCCCTAGTAAGGACGTCGCAAATTCGCTCGTGCTAGTAGGGGCCGTGGGTCCGTCTGGAGCCAATTGGAGCGCCCTGTGCCCCCCTGATGTAGTAAGGCTATATCCGAGCTCCTCGTCTCGAACCAGCCCATGCTCTCGCCGATCTATGCAAGTTCCTGGAAGTCTAAATGCAGATGGGCCCAAGGGGTGGAATTCGCAATAGCCCATCTACCGTCCCTGAGTCGCTGTATTCCCTGACTGTCGTCTAGCTTTGAAGTGCAGAATACTGCGGCCACAACCCATCCGCGTTCCTCACGGTGCCTCGCCCAATTCTGGTGCCACCTAAGCCGTCGACCGTTGTCCTCTCCAACCCCCAGTATCTAAACACCTGAGCGTTAGTGTTGCACCATGCCGCGCCGCCCTCTCTCTCTCTCTCTCTCTCTCTCTCTCTCTCTCTCTCTCTCCCATGACATAGCCCCCCTGCTATACTCCTAAGATACTTCGCAAGCACGCTGTCCAATGCATCTGTATGGGAAGGCCTACATGTAAAAAGGGGAAAGACCGCTAAGCGCCGCTCCGAATACGAATGCCATGAGCATCAACAGTTTAGTGGGTGGCGCTGTATCAGATGGCCAGAAGATGCCACGTTGTCTCCGCGCGATCCGTACAGCTGCTATACGTCGACTTCGCCAGCCTGCCCTTGGCCTGCTGGTAAGTATGGTCCTAGTACCCTCCTTTCGCTGAGAGCTGCCCCCTGAAGCGTTTTGTGCTTTGTCGAAGATGCCTGGTTGCCGCGTAGCCAACTGGTTGGTTTTTTTTCACTATTGAGACCCCAGCCCCCTTTGGCAATGGCAGTGGCCAGCTTTGCCGTGGTTGTGTTCAGCTCCTCTTCGATCTCCTCGCGGTGCACCCCTGATGTAAAGTTGCGTGTTCTTGTAATGTCGTCCATAAATGCGTTGACGGCAAAGTCGCATGTTGCCCCGCCGGTTGGATTGATTGCGTCGCGCACTTGCCGGCTGGGGCCCTTGCGCTCTTCCTCCCGCAATTGGGCGACGCACAAGCTGCGTGCGTCATTAATTTGCCCGGGGCATGGGGCGAAGCCCGTCTGAGGTCCTGCGGCGCCGGCAACCTCAACTAAACCGTCGGACGCTGTTAACGCGAGGGTAGAGTGCTCGAT